TTTTTAACTTTTGAGGTACCTCCATACCGTTTTCCACATCAGCTGCACCACTTTGCATTCTCACCAACAGTGCAGAAGTGTTCCTTTCTGCACATCCTTGCCAACATTTGTTTTTTATGTTGTTGATTTTAGCCATTCTGACAGGTGTGAGGTGATATCTCATTGTAGTTTTCATTTGTATTTTCCTGATGGTGAGTGACGTTGAGTGTCTTTTCATGTGTCTGTTGGCCATCTGTAGGTCTTCTTTGGAGAAATATCTATTCATGTCTTCTACATTTATATATCTTTAGCTTAAGTTTTTTTTCTTTAGCTGTAATGTTGTTTGCATTATGAACTCCTCTTTTTAAGACATCATTAAAAATGACACCTATACCATAGTCCTCAATCAATTTTTCCCAAACCATACTATAATAGAAATTTATCCATAAATTAATTTTAGTATTTTTTATGTTGTATTTTTTAAAAAATTGATATGGCTATGTTCTAATGACATTGTATGATTTTAGGGTTTTTATGAAGATTGTTTTATTTAATTTAATTTTTTTCATCTCCAGGTTCTAGTAGAGTGCTTTCAAAATAAGAAGAAAATTGATTTAATTGCATTTTTACTTGTAGATTACTGTGCATATTTAATTTTTCCTCAGTGCTTCTGAAGAGAAGAGGGAAGTTGATTATCAGAACAGTATCTACACATGTCAAAGAAGTAAAACCTAACCCAAAGGGAAGAGACCCAGAATTTCATAAATGATGAATTAACTGAGTCCCTACATACTTAGGCATTTTTGCCAAAGTCAGTGGAGTCTAAGTGGATAGTGTGAGGACTTCCAGCATGATGGTCCAAAATGATGGTTGGTATTAGAGAAAGGATAATTGTAGGGTTCCAATGCCCCAAGTGATGTCTTATTGCATAATGCATAAATCAGGGCTAATTTATGTCAGAACTAGCATCCTTCATCAGTCTAAAGGCAAGTATGCCACTTGACAAAATTGTAGGTATGTGGCAGTGCTGCTGGGAATACTAATTTCATAGCTTGACAGGGATAATTGTAAAAATTGACATTTTATTGTAGAATCATCTGACTTTCTGAGGCTTTAAAAAATACGAGATTGTATCATATTATGAGACAGCAAAGCACCAATTTTGTCATCTTTTCCTGTTCTCTTTTGCATCACATCTTCAACCAGCCTTTCTTCCCATTGACATATGATGTTGTATAAGTTTAAGGTGAACAACCCAGTAATTTTATATATGTATATATTGCAAAGTGATTACCACAATAAGGTTAGTTAACATATCTGTCATCTCAAAAAGTTATAATTTTCTGTGTGTGGTGAGAACTTTAAAAAATCCACTCTTCTTCAACTGGAATTAATATTACAAGTTTATATATGCCCAGTTAATATAAAATTCTATAGAGTTTACTTCTATATATTTAGAATTTTTTCCTGATTTTTTTCAATCTGTTTTTCTCTGTCTTTGCCTAGGTTTGGCTTTAAAACAAAATTTAGCTGAAAGAATAAGCAGATAAATATACCTGATACTACTTTTAAAAATAAGAAAGAGAAATGTACCCTACTGGAAATGAAAACAGATTGTGAAGATACATTGATTATTAAAGTGTTAGAATATTAGAAATACTAACACCAAAAGCAATCTAATGCAGTTTTTAAACATTCTATATAAGAAGAAAAAAAATCATGTTCACATAAAATCAAATTATCTTTTTGTTTTTCACTATATATAATTTTACTTACAATGAATGAAAGTTTTTAATATGAAAGTGAAAGTATTAATATTTATGTAATCTTTTATATCTGGATATAGACAGTCTAAGCATAAAATCATTTTATGGTAATAGAAAAGACTGATAGTTTTGACTTCATAAAATATAACAACTCTTCAACATGAAAAGCTTCAATATATAAAATTAAAAGCTGAAACAATTGTATTTAAGTAATGTGACAAACAAAAGCCCTTACTATATAAATTGTGCCTACAAATCAATGAAAAAAATGTTAATTAAAAGTGGATGAACCACATTACATGTTAATACAAAAATGGGAAGGAAGCCTATGAAAGGACTGTTGGACCTCAACAATACTGAAAGGACTAAACATGAAAACGACATACTAATTGTCACTTGCAACATTTGTCAGCATTAGAGCAAATATTCTTTAGGGTAAGATGAGAAAGATAAATGACTCATGGAGTTTTAAATTCATTTTTATTTTCAAGTAAGCCATTTGACAATAAACATTGAAATATTTGTAGGTGTTTTTCTTATTTAATTTGGGTCAGTAATTCTAGGAATTTTCTGTAAGCAACTAATCAGTGGTGCCACTGTGGGGTTAATTGTAATATTTGTAACAGTGAAAACCTGGAAATTGCAAAAATTTTCAAAGTTTAATAATGAATCAAACACATTATATTATACTACAAAATACAAGCTTTCAAGATTTTAGTTATGTAGTAATGTTGTTAATTATGTAACCATGTAAAAGTCACACATTGTATACTAGGTCCTATGGTAAGGACTTCCATGTAATAACTCATGTTCTCACAGCCATCTAGGAAAGATAATTTTTCTGTTTTAAGTATAGTAAGATGAAGCTCAGAGAAGTTAAAGTACTTGCCTTTATTCACACAGCAAGTAATTTGTGAAGCCTAATATAAATCTAGGAAACTGTTTCTGGAGCCCACTTTTAACTTCTGTGCTATAGTGTCACCAGAATGGTCAATGATCATAATCCAGTATTGTGAAAACAAATATGATACTGTGCTTAATATAGTGTAAACTCCAGACGAGCAGATGTGTTTATCGGTTGGGGTCTTAGCTCTGCTTGGATCAACCCCTGTCCCAATGCAAAGTAACTCTAACCTCCAAGGGAGGAACTGCTTGTTCAGTTTAATAGAGCATCAAGCCTCTGTGAATTCATTGGGGATTGGCAGGGTTTCTGCTACTTATTTTGGGTCCTGTAATGTCTGCTCCGACTGGGGATGTAAAATTCCACCCTGTTGGTCATTGGTACCTTTTTCTCTGGGATATCAAAACTGGTTCAGAATGATAAGGTACCAAGATGGGCAGTAGGAAGAATAGAAAGCTGAAGTATGGAAACGGTGAATTTTGAAAAGGTAAAATAGAAGCTGATTACAGGAAAAGAAGGAATAAAACTCTTTCCAAAGACTGACTAACTTTTGCAACTTAACAAAAACAGAACATAATTCAGAAGTGAATTTGGTCAACATAATTGTCAACTATCACAATTGACCTTTTAATTATTTTAAAATATAAGAAAGCTATCTAGATGCATTTTAGTTTATTCTCATCCTGGCCATGACTTATCCGGAAGCTTGTCTTTTACATTCAAGCTTTACTTAAATATTTCAACTCTTGAATAGAATATATTTTTGACCTTATATTAATACTCTCTTTATATATAGCCTAGACAAAAATAGTTCAATGTCCTTATTTTCACCTTTAGAAGTGAAAAACTGGGACAAGGTCATGCCCTCTTAAATCCAAGAAGTGTTTTATTTATACTACTCACCTTCCTTTGAATGCTTTATTATAGGAAGGATTACCATATGAATAATTAAAGTTTTAAATGTACAGGGCAGAGATAAGTAAATAATTACGGCAAAAACTCATTTAAAGTAAAAGCAGTTGCAGAGGAGAATTTCAGATGGCACTACTTTCTTAAGAAATGACAAATACCTTCTTCCTTTTCACATTTTAGTGCACTTATTCAAAATGGTGAATAGCCTGGAGATTAACACAAGCAGTGCTTTTCCTTTTTTGTTTCAGATCCATTAGTGGAGTATCTTGGCACCCTTAGAGCTGCACAGTGTGGTTTTCTGGGTTATTATTTCCTTCCTGGCAGTATTTTAATACAAGTACAGAAAATGGAAAAATTATCTGCAGAGCCTCCCATTTTATTGCAGAAGCGATGCAGGGATTAATCAATTTGCAGTTAGGAAAAAAAATTCCCTAAATTATTAAGCAAACTTTTGAAATTTATTAATTTGCAATTCACAGAAGGATTTTGGCTATATTTGTTTTCTCTGTTGCTGAGAGAAAATTGGAACCTTACATGAAAAATGGATTGGCCTCAAGTTCCTATTCTGCATGGAAATATTTTTGTAAGCCCTTGTTAAAATCTCCACGTTTTGATTCTCCAGCATGGCCTCTTTATGCCACTACTTTGCTTTTTTCAGAGTAGTCCAAGTCTGGCATGAGTTTTTCTGTCAATAAATTCTAATACTCAAAAACTCCAATCTCAGTGCCTTTTCCCCATGCTGCCTCTGTCAGGAAGCCTCACCCATCTCTCTGCCCGTCCGAAAGTGCTAGTGAGTGATCCATTGTCAGAGAACTTCTACCTTTTCCAACTCTAAGTTTACTTTTTTGGTTCCTTGGCAGTCATTTAATAGAATTCAAGGTAATGATGACACCTTTCTTAAAAAAAAAAAAAAGGCAGCAAGTTGTAGTGTTCCTACAGTTTTTTGTTTTAAGAATGTGATTTTCTTTAAATAATTTACTTAGCAAGGATGGGAAGCTATGGTATTAATACTTTGGAATTTATATAAAGAAAGTATGGAATTCATACGAAGGAAAGAAAAAATGTTTTTTTTTTAATTGTAAAATTCCATTCAGAGATGAGTAATAATCTGAAATAAAGACTAAAATTCAATTTGCAGTAAATCTTTTCTAAAATTATTATCTATTTTTCTTTTTTAAGGTCTTATTTAAATTCTAGTTAATCTACAATGTAATATTAGTTTGAGGCGTAGGATTTAGTGATTCATCACTTCCATACAACACCCAGTGCTCATCATAGCAAGTTTGCTCCTTAATCCCCATCACCTAGTTCACCCATTCCCCCTACCAACCTCTTCTCTGGGAACCAGCAGTTTGTTCTCTACATTTAACAGTCTATTTCCTGGTTTGCCTCTTTTTTTTTCCTTATGATCATTTGTTTCTTTCTTTCTTTTTTTTTTTTTGGAAAGCATAATATGCAAGGTGTTTATTGTAATTACTCCTATGTGAAGGTCCTTATTTTTGGACAACAGCAAGGCATCTTATTATCCACTCTTTCCATTCCTTAAAGGCTTCCACAGGTTTTGGTAAATTCACATTATCTTCCCGACTGTGTTCCGTGCTGACTCCAGGGATGTCAGCAGACTCATCATCAATCCACTTCACCAGTGCTTGGTATCTCTCTATTATGTTGAAGCCAACAGCGCACCGCAGCTTGCGTAAACAGATAGGGCAAAGGTTGAGGGGGCGCCGGTCAGCCTCTTCCAAGTGGTTGGAGCCCTGCATGAGGCATGCAAGCCACTGGCAGTGTCGAAGTCCAAATATGTGTCCGATCTCATGGGTTAAAGTCTTACAGGAACGAAGCAGCAAAACACTGGTCACTTCAGGAATATAATAGTTATCAAAAACGGAATAGTCGCTTGAAGATACTTTCTGCAGCTTGTTCACTTTGCCTTCATAGCATGAACTGTAAAAATCACTACCATATCTGGCAAAGCTGAATATCCCCACACCATCTGTCAAAGAGGCCTGTCCAAAGACAAAATTCCAGGAGTCTCGTGGGTAAAGATAAATCATTGTTATTCCCACAATACAGAAGGCATCTTTAGGTTTCTTCTTTTTTAGGAACCTCAGGATGTGCCCTGCATGAATTTGTAGGTTTTGTGTGTTATCATTGATTCTAAAGGAACACCTCGTTACAGAGACAGGAACCGGTTCTAAGAGTTTCACCGTCAAGCCATAGAAAAATGCTTCACAGTAGCCCTTGAGCCACTTAATATATTCTTCACTGATAATTCTGGTGTTTCCTAGAGATCCAATGCATTGTATATAAATACTGCGCTTCTCTGGAGACGGTGCCTTTCTAGAAGGATCACTGAAAAACTGTTCGAAGTCCTGGGGAGGCTCGGGATGGGAGATGATCCAGTCTGATTCCGAATGCAAGCTAATGGGTCCAAACAGATCACTGTCTGGCTTGAAGGCTTTGTTCAGCAAACGCCGTTCGCCAGCATCTAACTGCTCATACTGTGACACAAGCGTTGGGTTCTTTGAGATGAGAGCTGTTTTGAGAGTCTGTTCAGAGTGCTGTACTGTTTGCATAATGACAGGTCTCTTCCATTCACATCATGTTCCTCTGTAGGGGTGTCATTCTTTCTTCTAAATGCGTCAAACAGCTGGTCCACCACGAGGCTTTAGGGAGGTAGGCTCCCATCGAAGTTTTTGCCTTACAAGGACCGGCATGCCTGGGCCTGGTCGGGAAAGTGCTGTGCGGGGCGCCTTCACCCGCGGCCCCCCCGTCCCCCGCCGGCGCAACGCCACGCACCACCGCACCACTGATCATTTGTTTCTTAAATTCCATATATGAGTGAAATCATATGTTATTTGTCTTTCTCTGACTGACTTATTTTGCTTAGTGTAATACTCTCTAGTTCCATCTACGTTGTTGCAAATGGCAAGATTTCATTCCTTTTTTATGGCTGAGTAATATTCCATTGTGTGTGTGTGTGTGTGTGTGTGTGTGTGTGTGTGTGTATCACTTCTTTATCCATTCATCAGTTGATGGACATCTGGGCTGTTTCCATAATTTGGCTATTGTAGGTAATGCTGCTATAAGCATTGGGGTGCATGTATCTCTTTGAATTAATATCTTTGTATTTTTGGGGTAAATACCCAGTAGTGCAATCACTGGATCATAGGGTAGTTCTATTTTTAACTTTTTGAGGCATCTCCATACAGTTTTCCACATTGGCTGTACCACTTTGCATTCCCACCAGCAGTGCAGGAGGGTTCCCCTTTTTCTGTATCCTTACCAACACCTGTTCCTTGTGTTGTTGATCTTAGCTCTTCTGACAGGTGTGAGTTGATATCCCATTGTAGTTTTGATTTGCATTTCTCTGATGATGAGCAATGTGGAGCATCTTCATGTGTCTGTTGGCCATCTGTATGTCTTCTTTGGAAAATGTCTGTTCATGTCTTCTGACCATTCTTTAATTCAGTTATTCATTTTTTGGGTGTTGAGTTTAATAAGTTCTTATATGTTTTGGATACTAACTCTTTATCAGATATGTCCTTTGCAAATATCTTCTCCCATTAATAGGTTGTCTTTTAGTTTTGTTGATTGTTTTCTTCACTGTGTAGAAGTTTTTTTATTTTGATGAAGACCAAATAATTTATTTTTACTTTTGTTTCCCTTACCTTAGGCAACATATCTAATAAGAAGTGGCTATGGCTGATGGCAAAGAGGTTAATGCCTGTGTTCTATAGGATTTGTATGGTTTCATGTCTCACATTTAGGTCTTTAATCCATTTTGAATTTATTTTTGTGTATGGTGTAAGAAAGTGGTAAAATAATTATTTTAGTATTTTTGACATCTAAAGTAGATTTTCTTTGTGCTTTAAATAATTTGCAATCTTTTGGAAGTTGCAGTAATTTAAGATCACCAGAGCTCTTTAATTACTAATTCAATGCTTTAAAATGTGCTACTTCATGCTCTATTATCCTGACCTAAAAGTAGGTGGAACTTTCAAGAGGCCTAAAATATAGTGTAGAATTTGATTATACATTGAAAAAAATCTGATTCAACTAGTTAAAAATTTAAAGATAATTTTAATTTTATTTGGCTTTAAAGTACTTTATTTTCCTTTTATAATTTCCCCCTTAGCAACATATTCTGTGTTTGATGTTATTAACCTTCCCTCCAAATAAGCAGCATTGCTTTCTTATGTACTTGCTTTAAAACTTGCCTAGTTTAAATTATCTTAAGAAAGCAACTTTATTTTAATAAGCAGAGAGAATAAATTCTGGGCATGTTGATAATATGACCTTTAAACAAACAAACAAATACCTTACTTCTTACCTCTAGGTCAGCATAACTATACACACACCTATACCTTGTTCCATAAGAAGCTAAAGAGTCTACCCCAGTGCATTTGTATTACAGTTTCCCCAGAATACCACATGTTATATCTGTGTGGCTGGATAAATGACACATGCACACAGATACAGACAACACACACATACATAATACTTGTAAATTTTCCAAATAATCATCTTTTTCCATGCCCTCAATTTTAATCTACAGATGGATGGCTTTCAACCATTGCGGTCATGAAGGTTTCCAAAATCTCTATCTGTAGTCCAGTTTTGCTCCCAAACTTCAATTCTTTGATCAAAAACTCCTTATTACCTACTTTATTAAGTTTAATGTCTTCATTGTGGGATTGAAGGCTTTCTGCGTAATGACCTCAGTCTGTCATTAACAGACTTATCTTCATTCTTTTCTTTCTTCTTCTGCCCGTTTGATTTAAACTTTTTTTTGAAATACACTCCCCACCCAGAAGGACTTTTCTCAGGCAGTCACTTTTGTCTTTCACTTACTTTTCTGTTCCACTCTTCATGGCTCAATTCCCATGCTCAGAAGCCTTGGGTCTATCCCAATGTTTAAACCCTAAGCTCTAGAGGAATAAAAGGGGTTCATTTCCTTTATGACTATCAAAGTCAGTCCCTTCCATGGAGCCATAAATGAGATATCATCCTTACCTCCCTGGAGCTTTAATGCTCATTTACACAGAACCTCTGTAAACACTTCAAAGAACCTTTTAGTCATTTCTGGAGTTGCATTTTCCCTTATCAAAGTGAAGAGGCCTTGATGGCCAGTTCTTCTGAAACATAATATCTGTCACTTGGCTCATTAGCTTTATGTGTAAGTAGGCCTGGTCTAGAATGCTGAAGTCCTTTCTTCCCTCACCCCCACAACCAGTTACTAGCAAATCCTATCTCTCTGAAATATCCCATTTGACTTATATTGCAGCTATACAAAAGATACATATATGCAAAATATTTCTCTCCAGTTAAGCTGCTGATCACTCACCTTACTGGAGTAGCCCCTTCTTTTTTTCTTTTTTCTTTTTTATTGTTATGTTAATCACCATACATTACATCATTAGTTTTTGATGTAGTGTTCCATGATTCATTGTTTGTGTATAA